TGTTGCTGGAGAGTAGTAGAGGAAAAGGAGCTTTAGAGACTTTGCATGAGCTCTCTTGAGATTTGTGGTAAATCCTTGTAGCACGACTGAGTTTTATTTGTTCTATGGGAATGGTCTGACGTTTGGAGAGCTGCAAAGCAGACAAAGGTAAAATCTGGCCCTTTGCAGAGATAAGGAAGTAGTCAGTTTGACTGCCCTCTCCACCACCCCATTCTACTCTTGTCTTTGGAGTGAGAAAGAATTCACGGAGAGGACTATGTGTAGTCAAATCCAGGATATATTAAAGCAACAGTACACAACCTATAAGGTGTAGGTATTCTCAAGGGAGGGTCATGTATCTGATCTTGGGGCAAGGGTTTTTAAAGAATTAACTAAAGCAGAAACATGGGCATTTGGTATGGGCAGCATGATTTGGGTAATGCTAATGTTGTGCATGTAAGAGTTGCATGCTTGCTCATATGTGGAATGTAGCATTAACACCTGATCATGCAACTGGAAGGCATGTGAAAAATTGGCATTTTAATTTATTTATTATTTATTTAGTTTTTTGCTGTTTGGGTCACACCTGGCGATGAACAGGGGTTACTCCTGGCTCTGCACTCAGGAGTTACTCCTGGCAGTGCTCAGGGGACCACATGGAATGCTGGGAATCGGACCCAGGTCGCCCGCATGCAAGGCAAACGCCGTACTCGCTGTGCTATCTCTCCAACATCCAATATAGGTATTTTAAAAGATATTTATTATTCTGAAGCAATCATATAGCGTATGGGGCTGTGTAATAATGTTTTTCTTCCATGTTTTTAATGCTTCAAAATGGACTATCAGTTTGTAATTAAGGTGTCAAATCATGAGAAAGTAGTGTATTTTATTGTGATTTTTTTTTTTTGTAGGAGGGTGGGAAGGGCACTGGTTTGGGCTATACCCAGGGGTGTTCAAGGTTTGCTCCCGTGCTCATTCCTGGTGGTTCTTGGGGAACCATAAAGGTGCTGGGAATCCAGCATCACCTGCGTGCAGGACAAGCTCTTTAATCTCTGTACTATCTCTTTGGCCCCCCAAACTAGTCTATTTTAACCAGATAATTATTGCCATAGTAGAAAAAAAATAGAACTGATTAAAAAATGAGCTGTACTCAGATATACATGTACATATCGAATAAAAAGTTCTTTAAAGAATCAAATTCAGAATGAAGTCACCTGATAATGATATCATCTTAAAATCTGAACTCACTTCTCAACAGATGGTGCTAGCTCTCCATCTGCCTGCTTTACCATGCCGTTAAGGGAAAGAATCAAGAGGGAAGTGGCAATTTTGTGAGTGTGTATGCAGGGTGTTGGGCCACACCCAGCATTGCTAAGGAGTTACTCCTGGTTCTGCACTCAGGGATTATTCTTAGTGGGACTCAGGGGACTCTATTATGGTGCCAGAGATTGAATGTGGGTCATCAGTGTGCAAAGTAAGCACCCTTCCTGTTGTACTATCTCTCCAGCTGGGAAGTGGCAATTTTTGTTATTGTTTTGGGCCAAATCCAGTGGTTGTCAGGAATGACTCCTAGTACAGTGCTGGGCTTGTGCTGAGGTTAGTCCTGGGAGCTTGACAGACTGTAGGTGCTGGAGATGGAACCCAGCCCTCCACCATGCAAAGCATTCCAGTCCTTTGGGCTATCTTCCCAGCCTGGTACTGATTGAATGTGTGTGTGTGTGTGTGTGTGTGAGAGAGAGAGAGAGAGAGAGAGGATACAACTTTATAAAGTCATCAGTTTACTTACATTCAATATTCCAACACCAATCCCACCGCCTTTGCACCTTCCCACTACCATTACGTCCAATTTTCCTAAGCACCCCTTAAACCTGCCCCCATAGCAGGCCCTCCACAACTTGTTTTATATTGCTTGTTATAAATAATTTGCTAAAAGGATGATCAAAAAATGTTTCCTTGGAAGAGTTAGTGAAGATTGTTATATATCACCATGGGTCCATTAAGTCCTTGTGTGAGAGATTACTAAAATGCTGTTACAAGTTCAACCTCTACGTTACATCTCACCCAATATGGTGTGCTACTCCTGCTTTATCAGTGTTGTAGAGTTTGAGATGTCACTCCAGGAAGTACAACAATTTTTAAATTAGGTGATACAGCTTGAATTAAATTTTTAACTGGGTGGCAGCTTTGGGACATGTACGTGACCGCTGGAGCTTCCAGAAACACAGTGAGATGTGTGGGGAGATAGGAGATAGTCCATCCCTGACTCTGCAAGCCTGGAGATTTCAGTCCCCAAGCCCACATATCTGAATTTTTCATCAGATTAATTTCTAATTTCTGGATGAGGTTTGTCTCAAGCAGCGGAGTCTGGCCGGGAGCATGGTGGCAATTGTGGATTGTGGAGGTTTTCAGCTGCTGGGGCTCTGTTTGGGCAGGCACTGTTAACCTTGGGGGTGCCAGGAACCACTCAGCCTTGCGTAGAGTTGGAGAGAAATTCTGCCACCTGTTGATCTCTTTTGAGATTAATTTATGAGTCTCTGGATCATGGCTGGTGATTTTTTTTTTTTTTTTAGGGGCCATGCACTATGGTGCGCAGGCCTCACTCCTGGCTCTGGACTTAGGAATCACTCCTGGTGGTGCTTGGGGGACTATATGGGATGCCGGGGATTGAATCCAGGTTGGCAGTGCAAGGCAACACCCTACCTGCCATACTGTATTTCTCTCCAGCCCCTGAATGAATATGCATTCTGTAAAAAGGTACAGGTAAAGGCCCTCCCGTTGATCGTCGATTTGCTCGAGCGGGCCCAGTAACGTCTCCATTGGAGACTTTTGTTGTTACTGTGTTTGGCATATCGAATACTCTCGGTAGCTTGCCAGGCTCTCCGAGAGGGGCGGAGGAATCGAACTCGGGTCGGCCATGTTGGCCGCGTGTAAGGTGAACGCCCTACCACTGTGCTATCGCTACTGAATAGAAAGCAAAATTGAGCTGTCCTCTCAGTGGGTTCCAGTAATTGGCTGTAACTGTTTTTCCAAAGTGCTCTTTGTCAGGAGGTCGGCAGGGAAAAGACCTTATTACTTTAATCACATGTGGTAGTCCTTTTTGTTTCCACACAGCTGTCTAGACCTCTGCCCGGAAAGAAGCATCTTGAAATCTCAATGTTTGCCAGGGTTTCCAGTCACTGATTTTTGACCCCTGTTGTCCACAGGTGTCACATGGTTGAAAACCACTAGCCCAGAGGTCATATTCTCAACAGTCCTGCTCACAATCCCCTGGCCCAGGGCCAGGACCCTGCCCCTCTGAACCTAAAGGCTGGGTACCCTGAGAGAGGTTGGGGGCACAGAAGCATCCTTGAGTGGTTTTACAGAGAGGCTCTTAATAAGGGTGGGTGGGGTGTGTATTCAGAATCTGCAACACAAGAAGTTGTGTCTAAGTGTGTGCTGTGCCTTTTTCTCCAGAGGCTGCTTAAGTGTTGCATTTCCTCCTGGACATCTACTCCAGCATCCCCCTCCCTGCTGGTGAGGTGGTGCCCACATCATCTCTCATCCCTCTGGAGTGCTCCTGGCCGGGTCTGTTGGTTTCAACCCAGCAAACTACCCCCAACACATACACCAGAAGGTAAACTCTCCACTGGGTTACCCTCTCCCTGCCCAACTTAAATTTTTTTTTTAAATTTTTAATGAATCACCATGAGGTACAGTTACAGACTTACAAACTTTCGTGATTATGTTTCAGTCATACAATGATCCACTCCTGGTGGTGCTTGGGGGACTATATGGGATGCCGGGAATTGAATCCAGGTTGGCAGTGCAAGGCAACACCCTACCTGCCATACTGTGCCCATTCTCCATCACCAGTGCCCATTCTCCACCACCAATATTTCCAGTATCCCTCCTGCCACCTCCCATCTCCCCCCTTTTGTTGTGGGCACATTCCCTTTCACTCTCTCTCTCCTTTTGGGTGTTATGGTTTGCAATACGGGTACTAAGTCCGCGTCCGGAATGGAGAGACAGTACAGCGGGTAAGGCACTTGACCTGCATATTGCTAAACTGGGTTTGATATCCAGCACCCCAATATGGTCCCCCAAGCACTGCCAGTCCTGACTCCTGAGTGCAGACCCAGGAATAAGCATAGAGCATTTACTGGTTGTGGCCCCTAAATAAAACAAACAAAAATGATAATGAATGTCAGAGCCCTGTATGTATATATGTTATATACATAAACAGACTATAACATATACAATAGATAGATAGTTGCCTCTTGGTCCACACCCATTGGTGCTCAGGGCTTACTCCTGGCGGCTCTGTGCTCCTGTCCGTCAGCTCTGCCGGTGCTTGGGATCGATTCCAGGTCCACTGCAGGCACGGGATGCACTTTGTGCCCCGTACTACCTCTCTGACGCCAGCTAATTTTCTTTTGGAGCCACACCTGTGGGTGCTCAGGGCTCACTTTAGACTCTGCTGGGATGAGAGTAGGGGGCGGGGTGTGTGAAGCGGTCTGGGGTACTGCAAGCGGTGCCGGGGACCGAAACCGGGTCTCCCGGGATGCAAGACAAGCGTCTTCCTCGCTGCACTCTCTCCCGCCCTCCATCAGCTCCAGGGCGGACGCGAGTCCCAACCGCGGTCCCCCAGCGGAAATCATCCCCCAGCCGCACGCTTTCACTCTGGAAAGAGGCTCCTCGAGTTCCAGCCACACCCACTCCACCTCCTTTCCCGAACACAGGTCAGAGACCCCGGCCCACTTCCCTAGCCCCCCGGAGCGGGCCCAGTGGAACCTGGAGCTCCCCGTCGGGGCGGCCAGGAACCCCCGGCCTCCGTCCCCACCGGCGGCTTCTTCCAGCACGCGCAGCCCCCGGGTAGCGGAGCCGCGAGGGAGGACTTTTTTTTCCCTCCCCCCACCTCCCGGCTCCAGCGCGGGACCAGCCCGGAGCCGACGTAGCCGGCTCGGGGATCCCAGCCCCGGGGCCGGCGCGGCCGCAAGTACTTCCGGGTGAGCGGGTCGCCGACCTTGTGGCCCCGCCCCTCCCGCCGCCGCCTCCGCTCGCCGCTCGGGCGAAGGCTGCTCCCGGGGCGGGATCCCGCTGCCTGCTCCGGCTCGGCGCGGAGGGGCCGCCGGCGTGAGTGCGAGATTGTCGGCCGGCGCCGGGCGCTGCCCGCTCCCTAGCCCCGCGCGCGAGCGAGCTCGTGGGGGGGCCGGCGCCGGAGTCGCGCCCCGCGCCCCACGACCCACGCCCCTCGCCCGCTCCGTCCCCGGCTCGCGGCGGGCCGGCGGCGCCCGGGAACCAGGTAAGGGCCGCTCGCCGCCGCCCGCTCCCCGCGTCCGCTCCGCCCTCGGCCGCCCGGCCCCGCGCCGCCCTCTCCGGGACCCGCACCCGGGGACCCGCACCCCCTTAGCCGCGGGGGAGGACCTGGCCCGGGCACTCCCGGGCGTCCCGGGCCGCGCTGGGCTGATGCTGAGCCGGGCTGTCGCGTCTTCCCCCCTCCCCCAGATGGTGGGGTCGTGCCGTGGCCTTCGGGCCCCCGGCCGGCTCGCCCACTGCCCCTGGGCAGAGCGACCGAACCCCGGGCACCCACTGTGCTCCTCAAAGCGCGCCGGTCGGTGGGGGAAAAGTTCTAGCGCTGGCTCGTTCTCTCTCCCCCTCTCCCTCTCTCTCCCCCCCAACTCCGCTCTCTCCCTCTCTTTCCTCTCCCTCTCCACTGATCTCTCTCCCTCCCTCTCTCCCTCTCTTCTCTCTTTCTCTCCCTTCTCTCTCCTCTCTCTCTCCTCTCTCTTCTGTCTTTTTTTCTCTCTCTCCCCCCTTCTCTCCCTTCCCCTTCTCTCTCTGCCTCTCACTCCTCTGTCTTCTCTCTTCCTCTGTCTCTGTCTCTGTCTCTCTCTCTCTCTCTCTCACCCACCGTGGGAGATGCAGCTATCAGAGACGCAGGAGAAGGTTGTGTTCCAAAATTGAACTCTTTGTAACTCCTTTCCCTTTTGGAGTTTTCCTTTAAAGTGACTCAGCGTTTCTGCAGGACATCGAGAAAGCTTGATTTTTGTTAAAAAACAAACAAACAGAAAAAGAGTGTTTTTATTGATTGAAGGCTATTTGTAAAGACAACAGCGTGATCGTAACTTAAAAAACAAAACAAAACCTGTTATCACACTAAGGAAGGGATTGTGGATGTAGTAGTGGAACTAGAGAAATAGAAAACCAGCGTGTAGATGAATGAATTCTTTTTTGTGTGTGTCTGTGGGGATTGGGTCACACCGTTGTGCTCAGGGGTCTCTCACCGCTGTGCTAGGGGTGTGTGGGGAGACATAGGCATCCCTGAGTCAGCTGCTTGCAAGGCAAGTGCCTTCATCTGTGTTCTGTGTCTCCAGCTCTGAGTTTTTAAGATAGCATAATGTATTTTGAGGAGAATATTTTGTTCAGGTATGGATCTGTGCACAGGTGCATTTTTTTTTTTTTTTGAGAATGCAGGACGAGAGTGAGTTTGCATGGACTTGAGATTTGCTGAGTGTAAAAAGTCTTGCAGAATTAATCCTCGTTAACTAACATCTGTTTAACACGTACAGAGATGTAGAGTTTTGTTTTGCTTTTTTGTGCAGGGCGGGGTGGCGTACTCAGCCGTTCTCAGGACTTTCTCCTTGCTCTGTACTCAGGGGTCACTCCTAGTGGGATTTGGGGTGCTGAGGATGGAACCTCAGGGCCAAAAAAGGCAAGCCCCTTAAGCCTTGTGCTGTATGTCCGGTCCCAGAGATTAGACATGTTGACCTAGCATTCTACTAATACAGAATAAGAATTTCGGAAAGTGTGATTCATTTAGGAAGTTAGGTCATTCACTTTGTGAATCATTGATTCGGATCTTAAAATTGGAGTAGAGTGTTTCTGACTATTCAGACGCTTTCACTCATAGAAACTGTGTTATGCTCTGTACGATTTGTAGCTGGATATTTGTTGTGGAACGTGGTAACCAGTAAAATCTAAACTTTTGCAGAATGTTTGGATTGAGAATGGTTTCTGAGTGGGGGATGGAAGAGCTAGTATAGTGGGTAGGGCGCTTGCTGTGCATGCAGCAGATCTGGCCGGGTTCGATTCCCAGGAACACGTATGTCCTCTGAGCATCAACAGGAGTGAGCCCTGAGTTTAGAGCCAGGAGTCAGTCCTGAGCACAGGTGGATGTGGCCCCGCCCCCTTTCTATGTGAAAAGTGGCTTGAGATTTACCTCCACCTACCCCTCACCCCTCTTTTGGCCAGATGTGAGAAGTTTGTCTGGTGGGGTAGAAATCTAATCAGTGCCAGAGGAGAATGACCATAATTAATATTGAAAATGAAAGTGTATGGTCGTTTTGTGAGTGCAGGTCCTTGGCTGGTTTGTCAGTTTATTCTTAGAAACATGGAATTAGATAGCTAGACTTCTAAGTTCTCTTATGGAAGAAAGTGTGTATTAAACTCGTAATTTGTTATTTAAATTAGTTTTAAATCAGACTTTTTTTTACTTTTGGTTTTGAGTCACACCCAGTGGTGTGCTCAGGGCTGACTCCTGGCTCTTGTGCTCAGATGACCCTGGTGGGCTCATAGGGACAATGTGGTTTGCTGAGAATTGAATCAGGGTTTCTGTGTGCGAGACTCCTGCATGCAATACATTTGCTTCAGTCTTTTAAGTCATCTTACTGGCTACTTCTTTTTAAAATTGGGAGTTTATTTTGCCGTGTTTTTCATTTACAAGGACCTTTGGAAATCAGCTGTAAAGCAAATGATGTTTACCCTGTTGGTCTTGCTTACTGGACTTTTTAAAAAAAACTTACTTCCTTAAATATAGATCTTCTATTTAGAGTTAAGGGACCTTTCACTTTTTTCTCCAACTAATAGTGACCTAAGAGTTTCAGTTTCCGTGCAGTGAATATAGAGACTTTTTTTTTTTTTGGAAAATCCCTTATGAAAAGCACCATAACTGAGTCTTGATTGAGCATTTGCAAGAGAAATTGTCTTAGGTTTTGGCATTTTCTTGGTAAAGTGATAGGATATATTTGACAGTTTAGTTTCTCTTTTAAAAACAAAACACATTTTTACTAGAAATGTGAGGGAAGTAGCAATTTCTTGAAAGCTCTTTTTGTGAATTGCTTTTGTGAGAAGGGACAGAATTGATGATGACTAGAAGAAAATAATCCATTCCCCAGCCATAGTGCTGGGATTGTGGATGAGGATTATTCAAGAGAAATTAAATTTTTTTGTCCTCATGTTAGGATATCTCACCATTTCACCTACATAACGGGCATTTCATAGCTTTTCTTTTGGGGTAATTGCTTTCTCTAGTGAATGTGAATAGAGTGATTTTTTTTTTTTTGTAAAATCAGATTATTTTTGGAGGGTCACACCTAGCAGTGCTCAGGGGTTACTTCTGGCTCTGCACTCAGGAGTCACTCCTGGTATTGCTTGGGGGACCATATGGCGATGCTAGAGGATCGAGCCCTGGTTGGCTGCGTGTAAGGCAAACACCATGCCTGCTGTACTATCTCTCCGGTCCCAGACTGGTGGCTCTTTACTTGAGAAAACATACTACCATACCCACTGTGATCATCATTCGAAACTCAACTCTCAGAATTTAATAAGCAATGTTTCTCCAAGTCAAGCAACTTTGTTTATGATTTTTTTCTTGAAGTGAATAGATGGGGATACCTTTAAGCAATATTTTTATGTTTGTGTTGTACACTGCACTTCAAGAAATTTTGACTTACTATAAATTAGTCAAGATTTAAAAAGATGTTGAACATGAGGTAAACCCCCACCCAAATTTGGCTTACTACCTCTTTTTTTTTTTTTAACATTGGGTGGGTGGGAGCTGTCCTTTGAGTATGGACAGCGGTCAATTTCTGACTCTGTGCTCAGGAGTGACCCCTGGTGGTACCCAGGGGAACATATGAGGCGCTCAGGGTCCAACTGAGGTCAGTTGTATACATGGCAAACAAACCCCTTACCGGCAGTACTATCTCTCTGACCCTTATTCTGTTACTTAAAAAAAAATTTTGGCAGCAAGACAAAGGGAGAATTCTATTTCTTTGAGAAATTTGAGGTTTGCTACATATGTATGCTTTTGTTTTGGTTTTATGATAGGGAAAACAGTAGCTAAAAGTAGATGTTCCTAAGAACAGGAGGAAATGAACAGCATGGACAGATGCTCACTTCATGACTTAAGTAGAGTTTTGGGGACTTTTTAAAATTGATAAAACATGTAAAAAGATTATATTATGGTGAAGAGGAAGTCTCCTTTCCACAGTGAACTTCTAGCCTGTTATTTCCCCTTTATTACCCAACCCTAATCAGAGCTACCTCTATTGATATTTTTTCCTGTGTATTCCTCACCAATTTTCTGTTTAACGTGTAATCATGTATGTTGAGGGGAAGGGGAAAATTTCTGTACTTTCATTCTTTTTTTTTTTTTTTTTTTGCTTTTTGGGGTCACACCCGGCGGTGCACAGGGTTACTCCTGGCTCTGCACTCAGGAATTACCCCTGGCGGTGCTCAGGGGACCATATGGGATGCTGGGAATTGAACCCGGGTTGGCCGTGTGCAAGGCAAACGCCCTACCCGCTGTGCTATCTCTCCAGCCCCCAGTTGGGCTATATTTTGTAATAGAAATTGTTTTCTTTCTCAACTGTGGAAGGTGAAAGGAGCTCTTAATTACATTGTATTTTTTTATCCTCCATTAAAAAGCTGCTGCCTTGTATTTTATAAGACAATTTAAGACAGTTCTAGAGTGACAGTTAATTTTCATTGTGCTAGTAAGGATAAAGGCCCTCCCGTTGATCATCGATTTGCTCGAGCGGGCCCAGTAACGTCTCCATTGGAGATTTTGTTGTTACTGTGTCTGGCATATCCAATACTCTCGGTAGCTTGCCGGGCTCGAACACTTCAGCTTGAGCACTGGGTACTGTCATTGACTAATAATATAAATGAATAAATCATTTATATTGTGAATAATTAAAGGAATGTCTTTTACAGTAGGTTGATTATTTTACCATTTTATGACCAATATAAATTAAAAACATTATACATAGTTTAACTTATTGCCCTCCTTTGTCTGCTACCATATTGCTAGTTACAAAGGAAATAAATAGCCCACCTTATCTCTTCTTCCTTTTACCTTCTACATCCTAATCTATTTATAACCAAAAAAAAAAATCTCTGGAGTTTGAGATCTAAACATCCCTTTGCAAACCTGAGAACTATATGAATAGATTACTTTCTCAATGCAATATATGTAGATTTAATCGTTACTGCAGTGTTTATGAGCAGATTAAAAGAGGT